TCAGGGCATGACTCTCTTTTTGTTTTCACTGAGAATGTCTCTCTCCATTTACATCACCCCTTTAACCCTTGACGGGCTCGGCTTTCCCCATCCACTGCAGCTTCCAGAGGGGGGCTGGTCCACAGCCCCGAAATGATGGAACTCACCCCAAACTTCCCAGCAAAGTTTACATTATTTTTGCTTTGTCCCTGTGGATGGAGGGCAGCAGGAATGCTGCTTGTTCTGACCCCCAGGGCTCTCACCGAGGGGGGATTGCTGTACAATGGCATGGCTTGATTCACTGGAGAAGATTTAGATGCAAAGAAAAGCTGATGAACTGATGAAAAGCAGAGTTACTCTGTCTGACCAGGTCGTTTTCACCCAGGAATAATGTTTGTGGTGGAGGTTGCCGTGTCTTTGATGTCGCCCTGTTTATTTACAAAGCGTGGTTAAGAAAAAAACATAAAAAATAAGCGAGTCTTGTTTCCCCGAACCACTGGGGACTCCAACAACAGGCCAGGGTTTATTTGCTTACAGTTCCAAAGGCTTTCCAGTCAGGGGCCTGCCCAACAAGCTTCCTTTCTTCGCTTTCCCTGACACAATTTCCAGTGGTTCCTTGGTGATTGCTTTGGCTTTTTGGCTCCTTGGTGCCTTTTCTCAGCCACATGAAACCCTCCTTTCACCCGGCCTTGTCCGACCCACTGGGATCCTCTGCAGCCCTTTTGCTGAAGCAGGAGAGATGAACTTTCACCTCTTTATCCCAAATTTATGGGCCTTTTTTCCCCTTCCCTGCATCCATTAGCACCAACAAGCTGCTAGCCCAGCAGCACAAACACCTATTTCACCTTGGCCAGCTGAGCTGGGTGTGAGGGGCTGTGCTTGGTTTTCTTGGGGGTGCTGGGGACAGTCTTTCCATGGGGCTGGACACGATCTCTGTTTAGGACCTCGAGGGATCTGTGCCCTGCATTTATTGACCGCAGAGTTGATAAAATAGGGGTTTATTCTCTTAAATTGGTTTATTCTGTGGGGAAAAGGGAAGGTTTGAGACTCATAAAATGGTTTGTGTTGGAAAGGGATCTTAAAGCTCATCCAGTGCCACCCCCTGCCATGGGCAGGGACACCTTCCACCAGCCCAGGCTGCTCCAAGCCCCGTCCAACTTGGCCTTGGACAGAACTCCCTCTGACAGAGCATGGATGTGGCATCACCAGCCTTGGTTTCATCTGCTCCATGGTCTGTCCTTGCACCCTGGAGATCCCCAATCTCTTCCTGGAGCTGCTGGATTCCCTGTTCCCCTCGGGACACGTTCCTCAGCAAGGAATTTGGAGCATGACTGGGGTTTCCATGTCATCTCCCTCACCTCACCTGTGTGGAAAAGCATTCAGGTCCTGAAAAATATCCTGTGGTGTCTGATGGAAGGGTATGTGAGGGAGCACAGGGAGAACTACAGACAGGGAATTTGCACTAAAGTGTTAAAATAAGTAAGAAATGACTCCACACTGCAAAAATATCAAATCCCAACCAACAATAGATGTTTGAGCAGTGAAGTTTCTTAGAAATCAGATTGCTAACCATGAGTTGAGAGCAGGGGAGTGACATTTTGTGTAAGGGATGGATGCTGTTTTTACTGCTAAATATGGTGATTTCCACTTGCAAAGCACAGGCTGGGGTGGAAGAGGGCGCCTTATCTGCAGGTTCAAGACATGAAAATGGGAATATTATTAGCTGAAAATATGAGATGTGATGTGGCTGTCTGTTCACAGCCATAACAGGGGCTCCAAGTACGATGAGATCGTGTTTGGTCCAGAGAAAGAACCTGCTCTGCTGCCAGCACCCACCTTTGTCTCGGGGCTCAGGGACTGATGAATGTCCCTTAATTCCACTTGCCAGGATAAAGAGACTCCTTTTTTTGCAAACCCAACCCATTACAAATAATTCAGCAAACTTTCCTGCAGCTGGGGTCAGCTAAGGCTGGGTTGGCTCTGGAGCTGGGTGGATCTTTACCCCCTTTTATGGGGCTGAACTGGGAAGCTGGTGCAGGAGGAAGCCTTGCAGAGCCACTGTCTGCTCTGGGAATAAAGAACTCCTCTTTTCAGGGAGAGAATTTCCCTTTTGTGAAAGGTGGTGGCTCCTCTTCCCTGAGACTAAATCGGATCCTTATTTAGGGAGGAGGAGCAGAGTGAGCCTCTGCACACACACTTGACCTGGAAAGACCTCCTGAGGGTGGCTGTGTGCTCCAGGAGCCAACCCAACCCATCCCAGGCTGTGATGAGATGGCTCACCGTGTCTTGTTTGGGATCCTGGAGCACTGTGAGCCACCAGGCTGGGACCACCACACCCTCCACCAACACTCAGACACCAGGAAAGAGCCCCAGATCCCAAAAATGCTTTAAGCAGAGTCAGGGACAGCTGGCACAACTGGATCCTGGACACTGGAATCAATCTCCATGGCTGCAATGGCCATGATCCAAGTGCCAAGGCAGCACCAGCAGAACAGAATCCAAATTGCTTTGCCACGAACCCTCCCACAGGGCACCCTTTCCTGGGGATCTGACCCAAGGTCTGGCTCAAATTCCCTCAATTCCTGCCCTGGTGCTCCAGCCATGAGGTCACAGCTGGAGGGGGGAACCATCTTACAGCTGGGAGTGCATCCTCTCCCTGCACAGGGAATGTTTCCATCCCAGCTCCTCAGGAGTCTGAGCTGCAGGTTTGCACGTTTTGTGCCTCCTTAGGATGGTCTTAATGAGAGTTGAGGGGACTTGAGGAGCTACTTGTGTCTGTGCAGAGCTCCCCAGTCCAGGATTTGAAAGGCACTGATTTTTATCAACCGAGGAGGATTCTCATTTTCAGTCATTTAGAAATGTGTGCTCAGCCTCCCCTCCCACCCCTTCCTCCCTCCATCTCATGTGTTTCAGAATTTTCTTTTAAAATCCAGAGGCTTTGAACCCCCCAAAGCATCAAGGTTTCCTGCTTGGTTTGTTTTCAGCTTTGGGAATCCTCCTAAGGGAAAGAAGATGGAAAAGTGCTCTGAGGGGGGAATATCCTTATCACTGAGCTGTGAACTTTGCACTTCCCATCCTCTGGATTTTACTGTTCTGCTCATGTAGGGCAGCAATACAAAAACCACACACGACTGTCTCCTCTCAAACAAAGATTAGGGAATGTCATTAAAATCCTAAACTTTTCCTGCAAATTCTTCTGCAGTGGGCTTATATTGTGTTAAATCCCCTTTCTTCTAAACAGCTGAACTTTAAATCATGTGCTCATCATTCATTTTGCTTCTGGCACCAGTTTTTCTATCTGCTTAGAGCTGTATTTGATTTTTTCTCATTGAATTTTGCAGCTTAAAAGGAGTAGATTTTAGCCATAAATGAAAGCCAAAGTGATACTTTTTTTTTTTTTTCAGTTTTTCAGTCTAAAAATTTATAACTTAATTCCTAATTTTAACATAGCTCACAGGAACCAGCTCTCCATTACATGAAGCTGAAAACATCTATCACTGTAAGCTGAAAGTCTATGCTTATGCCACATTTGCATACCACCCCTTTTTTAAGCTTCAAGTGTCTTTATGATACTGAGTTCAAGTACAAAAGAAAGCTGGAACCAAGGGCTATTTTTCTCAAACACAAAAGAAGCAACAGCACAGAAAAATCCTTAACTTGTCATCTGCGGTGCCACAGCGAGGGTGACAGGGGGAGTGGTAACGATGCCCCTGCCAGGCTGGGGAGCAGCTCACACAGCGACTACTTCCCAAAACTTGGAGCTCATCTTTCCCCCTTTGAGCAGACCCGGCCGCCCTTCCCGTCCCAGCCGCAGGGAGAGATCTGCCAGCGCAGGACAAACCTCGCTAATCCCGGCTCCAGGACAAACCTCGCTAATC